GTATGTTTCCTTCCCATGGATCTTTAACCTGCATAAATTATGCTGTTACATTAAGGAGTAAAGAAGAGCCTATAAAGGAGCTGATAGAAAGTAAGGATGAATTTGAGTTTGAGATAGGTTCTGGTTCTGTAATCAAGCAGCTTGAGACATGTGTATCTCAATTGTCTGTCAACCAATCTGCACGCTTCACTACATCGCTGCCTTCGAGGGACTTGCTCTTGGCTGCTGCTGGTGAATGCACTAAAAACCTTTCAAACATTTCCCTGTGTGAGTTTCATGCTACCTTATTTATCTAGATTTTGTTATCTAACCAGTGTTGCTATCAAATAATTTGGACATTCGTGTCATTCTCTTTCAGCCAACTGCTTTCTGGAGTACTCCTTGAGGGTTTTGCGGGTTACAGAACCCATGGAGGAAAGATTAGAGCAGGCTTTTTTCAGCCCTCCTCTCTCAAAACAGCGGGTTGAATTTGCAGTGAGGCATATCAATGAATCTAATTTGGTTAGCTTGGTAATTTTTCCATCTTCTCTTGTCAGATCTAGGAATATCCTCTTTTTCTCTTTTGCTAATATTATGATTCAGACTTGAGGTCACTTACCCCTGGTCCCGGATCCAGAAAAATTTCGTTAGGGGAGCAGACGATAAGTTTTTATTTACCTAGATGAAAATGAACTACTAATATGTAAATGCCAAATGCAAATTGCTTGAAAATTGAAGCTGGGGTGCAAAATTTTTAAAGCTACGGGGAGCAGATTACAATTGTAGAAGGTTCTACAATTGTAATTTCCAGATTGTCAGGGGTGCAACTGCACCCCTAATCAACAATACAAATCCACCCCTGCTTATGCCATAGCAAATTTATCATCTTCCCTCTTCAGTACTTGTTCTTGGTTTAAAAAAAAATTGATGTTTCCTTGGTCCCATGAATTTGAACTGCATGCATAGTGGTCTGCCAGGTTTATGATGACCCCTCTTGTTCATTTCTTACCCTTGATGTTCAGAGTGTTACCTTTTGGTTGACAGACAAGGTTGAATTCTCTTGAAATCTTTTGTTGGAGACTCCTGTGAGAAGTCCCACCCAATGAGCGCCATTTTTAGTGGTTATAGGATGAGATGATGGTGATGATGTTACTTTTCTTGTCAAACTCCAGGACTAACTGACACTGACGGTTGGCTTTATAAATTACAGGTGGATTTTGGATGTGGATCTGGTAGCCTTCTTGATTCCCTATTGGAGCATTCAACTACATTGGAAAGGATTGTCGGTGTAGATATTTCATGCAAGGCTCTTACACGTGCAGCAAAGGTATTGCCTTCTGAACTTGACATATTCCTCATCTTCACAACTTCCGCAGATCCTCTGAAGTAAATTTCTTAAGTAGCTTGTATAATCAGAATGTCAATTGTTAAAATGCTTTCTTTGCCCCTATCAAGCTATTCCTTCATCAGATTCTTATTTCTTTTCTTTTACATATCTGTGTTTTAATCCCTGTAATTTAAGTAGGCCTATCCAGCAAATCCTGTTGCTAACAGGCTACCTCCTGGGCACCATAATTCTCATTATGATTGTAACCGTGCAGATTATACATTCAAAACTTAGCAAAAATTCTGTACTGCAAGATAGCATCAAGTCTGCTGTGCTTTATGATGGATCAATCACAGATTTCGACTCCAGATTGTACGGATTCGATATTGGCACTTGTTTAGAGGTATCAATCAAACTCGTCCTTTTTTAAAAAAGTAGGCTGGTATTTTTAAGTGGCTGCTCAGTGATATTTATATATATAAATTAAAGCTGTAGTTCTGATGGAGGAAATTTCACCAAACTTGAGGATCAGCCATTTTATTTCGTATTTGGGGTTTTCCTAAAAAAATAACTTCTATTGAGGTTTAATGGTGTGGTACTTGAAGATAAATTATGTTCTCAGGAATGGATTTCTAGTAGTTATTAGTATTATGTGCTGAACAAGGAAAGGTCGTGTAAGGAGTTATGGATATTTAGGCTGTGTGCGAAGCACGTTATCCATGAAGATAAACATTGTGAATATCAGTGGGAGATAGCCTGCATTCTTTTCTCTGGAAAAGTTTATAAATGACAATGTCACGGTGGCAGATGACCTGCATTCTCTTTTCTCTCTAGTCTCTACCAATAGAAATTATATTTGTACTCAAATTAAGTTAATATCCAGTTCTCAATTTTCTTGGTTCAATATAGTCTTATATAGACAACTTTAAAATAGGATCAGGCTGACAGTTTTAGAATAGACCAAACTGTGAATGGATTTTTTCTAGATATTTATGAAAAAATAAACTTTATATTATGTATGATTTCTAAAAAATGCCATCTTTTCATCATAACAATTTACAGGTGATTGAACACATGGAAGAGGATCAGGCGTGCTTATTTGGTGATGTCGTACTGAGTTCTTTCTGCCCTCGAATACTTGTTATCTCAACTCCCAACTACGAATACAATCCTATACTCCAAAAATCCTCTTTCCCCAACAAAGAAGAGGACTCGGAAGAGAAGTCATCGACTACTTGCAGATTTCGTAACCATGATCACAAGTTTGAGTGGACGAGGCAGCAGTTTGAACAATGGGCTACTGATCTTTCAGTTCGACATAACTACAGTGTCGAGTTTAGCGGAGTTGGTGGGTCCGGTGATGTTGAGCCCGGTTTTGCTTCGCAGATTGCTGTCTTTAGAATTCGATCGAACCGTGCAGAGGAGAAGCTTTTGGAAAATAGAGAATCAGCTTGCCCTTATAGAGTCATTTGGGAATGGAATCACTGCTCCAGTTCTGCTGTCTGACACTCTTAACAGATAAACTCCAATTTAGTGTAGAGGCATTCTACAGCAGCTAATGGAGGATTAGTTTGTTTTTATGGGGGTTCTAATTTAGATCGGTGGAGATTAATGGGCTCTGAGAGATGAATTAGGGACTAATTCGCTTAGCTGTCTAACAAAGGTGCTTCAGTTTTAGCTTTACTTTTGTCTTTATAGAAGTTTGTCAACAGATGGTTTAAAAGATTCTGAGACCTTACCGTATCAAAGTAATACTTGTATATTTCAGCGTGTGGATAAAAGATGTGCAATCTGGGTGATAATGCTACCAAAAGCCCACGGCTACAAGGGAGCAATAGTGCCAGCTTAATATCTGCTAATCTTCCGATGAAAGAGCTTTTCACTGAATAGCAATGTGAATCTGCGTCTTGATTCCTTATATGAAGATATTGCCTTTGATTTCAACATGACCCCAAATTTTAAGGAAATTCAATTGGTACTCGTAGATAGTTTATTCAAATGCAACTCATAGACAAACTTATACAAAGTAATAACATAGCCAATTTCCGACAATCCTTTGATACATATTAACTGAAATCCCAATACCAAAACAGCTTAGGAGCAGGGAAGAGAAGAATAGTCGAATGTTTTACAAGCTTTCAAGTGCTAGGCAATTGTGCTTCGTGTCATGAAGCCCGTCTCCTCGAGAAATATAAGCATTTTGAGTATCTACAACCGGCTTCAACTTAAACCTACGACTTGGTGCTTGTCATGGATATAATTGTACCAGGAGTATTCACAAAATTCTTCCACATCTTCGACACATTCTTCACCTCAATGACTCCTGCAAACACGCTTTCAACACTTGCTGTAACATATACATGATATATTCTATGGCAGTTTAAAGAAAACAAAAAAAAAACATAGGATTTGAAAGCACTCTCATTCTCATGCACAACATGAGAATATCACACTTATCATTGCCACACACAAACTGACGGCAATACGAGGAACTGGACAATTCCTCCAGTTTGTACAAATAATTAGTAACAGGTCCACCGTGTATTTCTTCTTCAACCTGTATCTAATCGCTGCTCACTGTATATGATATCAAAAAATGTGTTGCTTGTTGCAGATACCTCGACCTTTATCCTTGTTTATCTATCCTTTGACAGATTGCGAAACAAGAGAATCTGACACAAAAATAGGAAGCAAGTTTTATAGTAAACACAAATGAGTGATTAAATAAATAAATAAATATCAGAACTATGATTGCGGATTCTTATTTTCAAATCATGGCAAATTTTTGTTCCTGATACAAGGACATACCTTATATACAAATATTAAGATCCTTTATTCAAGCAGAAAGCTTTAAGACAGACTGAATAAAGATTGAACAGTATCCGTATTCCTCTTTAAGATCACTTTAAGAATCAAAAGTCCTCAACAAGAAGGGGGTAAAGAATGCAAAAAGAGATCAAGAGAACGATAAGATAAAATAAAGCAGGAGAGAAAATCCTAGTATGTAAAATGAAAAACTAGCTCAAACTCAAAGAGTACAAAAGAGAGAATTATAAGCAGAAGTTCACATCATTAAAGTCTCTCAAGTTCACTATGCATTAATGCACACACCTAGAGGCATATTGCAAAATGATTATTTTATTTGTATCATGTAACAACAATCAGTTAGACGGATGATTACTGTTCTTGAAGTACATGTTAGAATAGAAGAGATGAAGCTTATTTGAGCTTTCTGAGCACTTTTGACATACAATTAAAAGGTTTACATAACATCATAGACTACGTAGCATATCATCTGCAGTACATATATTTCGGTAAGAAGTGAACTGAAAGGGTTCTTTCTTGTCTCACAAAAAAAAGGGAAAATAAAACTAATTTTTTGAAGTTTTAAAATTGGCTTCTAAGAAACAACTTACCATAGACCCCAAAAGGAAAAGTATATATAAGTGAGATGTTTCGATCATTATTAAGGATCAGCAATATGAAGAGCATAAACAATGAGAAAACCTTGTCAAGTTCTCTATAAGAAATTACCTTTTAGAAAAAACTAGCAAAATTCATCCATTTTGTGAAGCATTGGTATTCCCAGTCTGGCCTTCAATTTCTTGCTGCACATTCACATCACTATTCTGGGCTTCATGATGATTTCGTGGCTCTTGGTGCTGTTCACCATTATTTTGGTGCTGAGACAATAGCATATTTCGCCTAGTTCTCCATCTCAAGTACTCTACAAGCAGAGAATTTGTACTTATTGCAATTCCAAACCCAGTGAATGATGAAAGCAGGACGGAAAGCACAGGAGCCACTCTGAGCTGCAAATTTCAATATGAATATAAGAACTAGTTGTCTGACTATTGTGATTGCAAGAATAAAACTCTTACCACATTGTAGAAGATATGAGCAAAGAGGATTACAATTGCAAACTGGAAGGAAGCATAAGCCCAAATATAACTCTTGCTCACTGTAAACAAAATAAATGACGAGAAACAAGTTGCTGGATTATGAACAAGGAAAACCTCTACATAAATAGAGCACACAAGAAGATTAAAATGCATCAGGATTTGAAAGAAATATCCATAAATTACAACAGGCGCAGCTTATGGTGTTTTTTCCTCAATGATTCGAACAGATATCAGTCAACACTAGGAGGACGATTTTCATAATAACTAGATAACCAACTAAGAAGATGAAGCATGGATCATCGCATCAACGGATACGGTAAATCTTGTTTTGAAGACGTGAGAGCAAAGTAGAACATCTATATGTCAATATTATTCAATCCTAATTTTGTCGGGCTTGTGCATGGGTTATACATGTTCTTGTGTCGTGCATATGTGAACAAATTTCTAAGGGTCACCAACTTGGAGTACAATCAGTGGTTAAGGTTGAACTCAACTAGGTTAGGTCTTTTTGTGTGTGCTTTCTATCCATCTTCTCTGTTGGAGAAAGCACCTGTGAACCTATACAGAGAGCGCTTTCTTTTGGTGCTTTGCCATGCTTTGTAGGGTACATCATCTGCAGCACGAACTTGCAAGCACTTGTTTTTCATTTTCAAGCTACAATCCTCCTTATTCTCATCCAGTCAAATTATAAAAGAATTTCTCCTCTTCCATTCTGCTTCTTCTATTAATATAGCTTTTCATTTACTGAAGCTACAGTCTAACACATGGGTTTTTGGATAAGCCAAAAGCATTCACTTCAGATCAATTTGATAATTCCTTACGCGAACTCTTTGGAGACAAATAACTAAAGACAGTTTGCAAGTAAAAGCTTGCTTTAACATTTCCATTTTTCTTAGTTTCGCTATTCTGTTCTGCAATGATCACTTCACATTAACGAATAAGGATAAATTTCCTAAAATCAAGTAGAATGAGGGATAAGCTCACTGAAGTAGCATGTAAGGCAACCCTAAATCTAATTTCTATAATCTGCAACATGAGAAATGAATAAGTACTTAATTTTTCATGCTTCCCAGAATTTTAATTCTTTGCTGAACTTAAAGGGAACTTCGTAACAGACCCTATGCTGAACTTAAAGGGAACCTCATAAGACCTCCACAATACAGCTATTCAATTTCAACAATTGATAAACTTCTTATGACAGGGGTCTAGAGGAGGCTATAATATAACATACTAGTGTGAACACCCCCGCTGCAGTAATCCCGGTTTTAACTGCTACAGTAGTTTTAATTGCTAGCCCCCCGCTCTGTTACAGTGTTTCCGTGTGCTACAGTAATATTTTTCAAAAACAATAACGGTTTCATTTTGCTACAGTAAATGCTACTGTGGCATTACTGTTGCATGAATAGTGAATCTTGGGTTCTCCCATTTGTATAGAGGAGTAGATGAGCACATATATCGACAATTTGGACTATTATGGGCCATACATACTGAGGCGTGGTTTTTCATGTTCTCTTGGTCTAGAGTCTACGACCAACTTGCAAATGTGCAGTAAATACTTATGCATCATATGTTAAGTTTATGACTAACTACATACATTTTTAATTTCCGGAGCCGTGAAAATTTTAAAATTAAAAAAGATGAAAGCAGAAAATAAAGAAAAGAAAACTAGGAAAATATTGGACGTGATAATTACCCATTGTGGAAGCTATCATGGATGAGAGGAGACCCAAAACACAAGAGAAAGGCAATGATATAGCAAGGGCTCGTGAAGCCATATCTGTAACCTGTGCCATTAAAGTGTTTCAGTCATTTGGCAATGTTTACAGAACGCAAAGTTGTAACATGTAAACGCTAAACTAGCATATAAGTTATAACACATATGAAGCAAAGATTAACTTATGTCTACATGAACTGGTCACTCACCAATAATTGCTCCAAGAAGCAGAAATAGGCAAGCATGCTGACCATCACCAAGACTGGAACATCCTGCCAGACCCTGTCAGAGGAGGAAAAAACACCAACATATTCACTCCTAGTACCAACAGTAACCAAACACAGCTCTCAGCCAAAATACAAATCTTATCCTGATCCAGAAACTCCTGGAAAGGTTCTGACCTAAATAGAGTATTACAGCATTTTTTTTCTCTCATCAATTTTTAGAGGTACATGGTATCATGAGATATGCTATGAAACTCATATTCGACCATGGATTCTAAACAAAAACCTTGAGTCAATGGTATCATGAGTTGTGCTATAACAATCTATGAACAAGATGCAGACAATTAAATAAGAATTAGATGCTCATCATCATCCTCCAGAAGGAACAAATGGAAAAGACATCAAATAAATTGTTTATAGAACAAACTTGGGATTTTGTAAGGGTCAATGTCACAAAACCCCCTTAACTTGGGGTTTGTTGCCCCTGAACTTTGTAATTCCACAAACTCCCCTAAAGTTGTACTTTGCTACCGTGGTTGACACTATTAAGTTAAACGTCTCATGTGTGCCACATGTGACAAAAAAAGGCCATTTTGCCACTGATCACCAAATAAAATTTCGTCAACACCTATGTTTTTTACCCTAGTCCCTGAAAATGAACATGTTCTAAATAGGGTATTGTAGGCATTTTGTCTGACCCTATAACTCCGTCAATGGTAATTTCCAAAAGGTGTGAAACTCCCCAAAGTACAGAAGGGCCATAGATTTACAAAGCTCAGGGGTTTTGTGCAAAAAACTCCAACGTTTTGGGGTTTTGTGAAATTAGCTTGATCAGACTGAGAATTTTTCAAACAGATATTGTGTTAATATTGGTGTTTATAAGAATTTTTTCAAACAGATATTGTTAAGAATCTACAATCTTCTAATAGGGTACCTAATAGTATTAGGCATAGACTAGAACGGTCTAAGAGGAAAATGATAGGAGACTTTTACAAGAAAATAGAATTAGATTAGCTACTTGGAATATAGGTACACCTACCGGAAAGACAATGGAATTAGTGGATGTCATGATTAGAAGAAAGATAAAAATAATTTGTCTACAAGAAACTAAATGGATAAGTGAAAAATCTAGAGAAATTAAAAAGACCGGATATAAACTTTGGTACACGGGAAAAGAGAAGAATAGGAATGGAGTGGGAGTTCTTGTAGATAATATAATAAAAGTGTTGTAAATGTAAGAAAAGTTGAAGATAAAATAATATTAATAAAAGTTGTCTTAGGTGTAGAGGTTATTAATATTGTTAGTACTTACACACTACAAATAGGCTTGCCCAAAAGTACTAAAAAAATTTGGAATAGATTAAATGAATTAGTACAATAAATTCCTTTTGGAGAGAAAGTACTTATAGGAGGGGATCTTAATGGGTATGTTGGTAAGCATAATAACGGATATGAGAGGATACATGGATGTTTCGGGTATGGAGATAAGAACGATATGGGTAAATCAATTCTAGAGTTTGCAATATCGTATGATTTGATAATAGCAAATACACTTTCTACAAAAAGGGATGAACACTTAATAACCTTTAAAAACGGTTTTAATAATAGTCAAATAGACTTTCTTACTAGAATGGCGGATAGGTTAATATGCAAGGATTGTAAAGTTATACCATGAGAGAGTTTAAGTACACAACAAAGATTGATGGTCTTAGACATATCTATTAAAAAGTAGAGTAGAAAACTAACGTGAACAAAAGACTAAGAACTAAATTGTGGAATTTAAAAGGAGAGAATTTAATACATTTTAAAGATAAAATAATGAAAGAAGATATATGGAACATAGATAATGAGACTAATATTATGTGGAATAACATGTCTTATTGTATTAGGAAAGTGACTAAAGATATACTACGAGAATCTAAAGGTTATAGATTAGACAGTAAGGAGAGTTGGGGGTGGAATGAGAGTGTGCAAAAGGTTATTAGAGAGAAGAAAACTTTATATAAAGAGTGGCAAAAGAGTAAGAAAAACTTAGAAAATATAAACTAGTAAGGAATAAATGAGAATAAATACAAAGCTTATGAAATTTTTTATAAGAAGTTAGAATCTAAGGAGGGAGAGAAAGATATATATAAGTTTGCTAAGATTAGAGAAAGGAAGAGTAGAGATTTGAATAATATTAGGTGTATTAAAAGTGAGGATCAAAGAGTTCTAGTGACCGACGGGAAAATAAAAGAGAGGTGGAGGGGTTATTTTTATCAATTGTTTAATGATAATCAAACAAGTGAGCAAAATAGAGATTTTGACCATATAGTGAATGATAGGAACTATAGATATTATCGTAAAATTAGAATTAGCGAGAGATAGGAACTATAGATATTATCGTAAAATTAGAATTAGCGAGATTAAAGATGCTCTAAAGAAAATAAAAAGTGGACGGCCGTAGGACCAGACGATATCCCTATTGAAGTTTAGAAATGTCTTGGAGATATAGGCTTAGGATGGTTAATTAAACTATTTAACAAAATTATCGAGACGAAAAGAATGCCGGATAAGTGGAGGATTAGTATTTTGATACCAATATATAAAAATAAAGAGGATATACAAAGTTGTTCAAATTATCGAGGTATAAAACTCATGAGTCATACTATGAACTTTGAGAGAGGGCAATTGAGCAAAGACTAAGAAAAAAGACATGTATATCTGAAAATCAATTTAGTTTTATGTCTGGGAGGTCAACTGAGGAACCTATACACATTTTGAGATGGTTAATGGAGAGATATAGAGAGAAGAGAAATGATTTATATATGATTTTTATTGATCTAGGAAAAACTTATGATAGAGTACCTAGAGAGGTAATATGGTGGGTGTTAGAAAAGAAACATGTATCTAATATATATATTGATGTGATTAAAGATATGTATAATAGAATAACAACTAGAATAAAACTAATGAAGGAGAGACTAAATCATTTCCTATTACCATAGGTTTATACCAAGGGTCAACCTTAAATCCTTATCTTTTTGTATTAGTTATCAACCAACTTACTAAGCACATTCAGGATAAAATCTTATGGTGTATGTTATTTACTGATGATATAGTCTTAGTTGATGAAACTAAAAGAGATATTATTTCTAAATTAGAAAGATGGACACAAGCTCTTGAGTCTAAAGGTTTTAGAATTAATAGAATAAAATAGAATATATGGAATGTATTTTTAGTAAAAGTAGGAAAGAAAGAGAGCCTATGGTACATATTGATGGCCAGGAAATACCTAAAACTAATCATTTTTGCTATTTAAGATCTATCATTAGGCATGATGGTGAGATAGAGGATGATGTTGTGCATCGAATCAAATCGGGATGGTTGAAATGGAGTGCTTCGGGAGTCTTATGTGATCGTAAAATACCAATGAAACTAAAGTAAAATTTCTATAGGACGGTTATAAGACCAACTATGTTTTATGGATCAGAATGTTAAGCAATTAAAAAACATGTTCAAAAAATGAGTGTAACAGAAATGAGGATATTACGATGGTTTTGTGGGTATACATTAAAAAATAGGGTAAGAAATGAATGCATCTATATTAAATTAGAGGTTGCGCCTATTGAGGATAAAATAAGAGAATAGATTAAGATGGTTTAGTCATGTATAAATGAGACCCCTTAGTGCACCGATTAGGAAAAAGTGATAATATTAGAGTTAATGGGACTAGGAGATCTAGAGGTCGACCTAGAATGACTTGGTCAGAAGCAATTAAGAAGGATATAATTAAGACTAACGTAACAGAGGATATAATCCGCAATATAATGGAATGGAAAAATATGATTCATGTAGCCGACCCCAAACATTTGGAATAAATGTTTGGTTGTTGTTGTATAAGTTATAATTTTATAACTACATAAGCTTAAATATCCATGCAATAAAAGTGTAACATATAGTTAAAAAAAAGGAGAAACCAAATGTCTCTTGAGGAATATAAATGATCAACTTGATCAGATCAGAGAAGGCCTAAGCATGATGCTGGTCTTCACATATCAGATTTGCAGACAAACATAGTGTTAATGCGAAGAGGATGTTCATTTGTGAAATTTCAATAATAAGCTAGGATTTACTATTTTCAAGGTCATGGTTACCTGTAGCTAGCAGCCTCTCTTTGCTGCAATGCATTTGGTGCCCTTCTATTACCAAACTGTGGATTTTGTATCCTAAGCAGTGTTACTGGTAGATTTTGGACCTCCTGTTTGCAGATGTCACAAGTTTTATTCCCCTTTATGCTAAACCATTTTATCGCACAATTTTGGTGTGCAAGAGCGAGCTCCCCTTTGCAGCTACACTCCATTTTAAGAGTTTCCCCTCCTTCCGCAAGCTCAACAAAGCATATGCGGCAGACTGCCTCTTCTTCAGGAATATCTTCACCTTCATCTTCAGCTGCTGTAAAGATATTATGCAAATATTGAAGGTTCTTTAGCATGATAGGATTTGACAAAAATAAATACTATTTCATATGGAGCAAGATAGATGAGTTATGACAGTGACTAAAAGCTTTTTAATAGCTTTTTAATAAGAAACATATGATGGCTGATTCTGTCCGTGGAAACTGGTAAGATAGACTTTCCACTATTTAGAGATGAATTTGTTTATGATGTGTTATAAGAAATTGTCCATGTAACGATATCGATAAGTAGCATAACACGCAGAAACAAAAATATATGATGCTGAGCTCTTACCATTTACAACCTCAACGATATCACTTTGTATCGCATTCTCAACTGGGGAAGGACGAGGAGTTGAAATCACACGAATCAGGCCTAAAGAATCTGTTCTCTGCAAGCGTTTACCTTTGACATTCCCTGGTACTGAAAAGGACCGGGAAATGTGTGTATGAACTTGTTGTTTCTGTTATATAAACAAATAAATAAATAAATAAATAAATAAATCAAAAAGGTCCAGAAAGGAAAGCTAACAATGAAGACCTGGAAACTTCTAAACAGATAACAGAGACTATCTCAAAACTTCTTTCCTTAAAATCTGATAATGAGTATGCGTGAGTTAACAGAAAATTAAGGAAAAGTGCTTAAGGAGAATAATCATACAAATGAGCAACTCAACCAATATAGTACTAGTAGATTTTGAAGAGAGAACTACATATGAATATGATGATTGAGGAAAATTAATAAACATTAAATTCGCAAATTTCCTTCTCTTTCAAGTGTCTGAGTTGATTCAAGTTTAGTCCCTCGCATTACAAGTAGATGTGTCTTCTCTTTAGCTATCTAATATAGGAGGATTTAAAAAAACAATTGTTGTTACTAACTTACTAATGACAACCTAAACTAAAAGATGAAACTTCTAGAAGGTAAAACCTAATTTTGCATTTCCCACTTATTCTGATCTTAAACTATACAGACAGGAAATCACTTCTTGCTATGCAAGAAGCTTTTAAACTCTCCTATACAGATAGGAAATCACTTCTTGCTATTACCAGCTTCTGCGGACCTCTTAGCAAGTAAGACCACGAGATAAGTTTTAGAAAGTAATTATGATAATAATACACATTACAATAATGGTTATTTTGATTTAACTCAAGCTAAATGTCATCATGAACGGAGGAAGCAATTTAATTCCACCTAACAAAGTCACGGCTATACACTTGTTGGGGAAAGAACATCAGTCTAGAGGAGACAAGGACTGATATACTTCAAGTTATTCTACTTCCTAAATTTCCTATTTTATTATTTTTTCTATCTCTAACACATATGCGTGCACCTTTGCCAGAACCTTCGTAACACATAAACTAGACACAGAACTACAGAAGTGATAATTTAATCATAGTCAAGTAACACTTTCACATATGCCAGTACTTGAATCCAAGATATTCCAGCTTTTGGCAAAAAGTCTGATAAATGTCCGTCTCAATTGATTTGTAGAGTTTCAGTCCAATTAAGACAGTGATATTCATGGCAATCAAAATTTATATTCCATAGCAACAATAGCTCAACTCAAATAGAAACACGTGCTTCATATAGATTTGTTTATTCATCAGTCTTATATAGCATACTTAAATAACTGAAATCGCATATATAGACACAAGTACTTACATCCAAATTAGGCATGTCTATAACATGCCGATCATGTGTCGAGTCTACTAATGCAGCACCTGAATTTGCAATTGGCGTGGTTGGTAAAGAATGGGTTCTTTTTGCTGATAGGCCTGAGACAGAAGAGAAGACCTTGGAAAAAGAGAATTGCCTTGATATAGAAGGTTTATCTCTCTGTCCTTCTGAAGATGGTATCCCAGGAAAGAGAAGAATTGTCCTGTCGCCCTCCGGGATTGATGAACTCTTTGTCTTGAAGCTCCTTTGAGGAAGTAGATTCTTGGTGGATGATTTCGTCTTGGTTGAATTAGGCCTCGGAGGCAAGCCAGATGGCCCTGCTCTTGTTGAACTAGAACTAGGCAATGCATTCTCTAAAGATCTCGTAGGTATTTGTAACGAGGAAAGGTTCGGTCGTCTAGAATGATTGGCTGATACAATCTCTCCCTCATTTGCATCCTGCAGGCTGGATGCCTATAAAACCATTCAAAGTCCATTTCATTAGATACATCTCACATAAACAACATCTAGATATCAGGGTTAATGTCACATAGACCCCTTGTAGTATCACAATATACCACTTATTGACCATTAAGCTTGTACGAGCGGATAAACATGTGAGAATTGAACGCCGTTTCAATTATATTGCAAAAGGGACACTCCACTTCAAACTTAAAGGGTAATAAGTGGCACAACGCTGTATTATTACAAGAGCTCTATTTGCAATTAACCCTAGATATTTTAAATAGTGACAGACTCCTAATGTTCATGAAGTAAATCTGGAATCGGTTAAAAAAAAGAGTCATAAGACTGGCATCAAAAAATGATAACAATCAAACTAGCAGAATTAGACAACCGAACTTTTTACATTCTACGTGAATACATTATTGAGGAAAAAAAAATATTAAAGCTGCTTATATGTCACAGTTTACAAGAAGAAAACTTCAAGCATCAATTGCACGAGAGCTATATATTCAGACACTGAAATAGGATTAAAAAAGTGAGCAGCTTTCTTAGAAAAATAGATTTATTTTATCCAATTTTACCGAGAATTAGAGGAATTACCTGCTGATTTGAGGAACTAGAGGCCGCCCCTTCAGCTGACTGTGCTGGAACTCCTGAATTCTCCATGGATTTTCCCAATTCTAAACGATAAAGATCGAATTTTTCCAACCAAATATTTTGCACAAAAACCCTAGAAAACAGAATTTTAAGGGATCATGTCGTCCCCTGAAATTCTTCGCGAAGGAGAAGAGAGTAGGTCATGGAGTCGGAACAAAGGAGCAAAGTTTCAAGCGCGACTTCAATTATTGATATACTTAACACATTTAATTAGGGCTTTCCCCTTCTTTAACCCCAGATGCTTTAGGGGCTGTTTGGTTGTTGTTGGTAAAGTTGTGTATTTATGACACAACTTGAAAAGTTATTGTCCACCTCATCAATTTTACTTTTATATTTTTCTTTGTTTGTTTTTTATTCCATTGGAATCATAAATTGCTTGTTTGGTTTGTAAATGTAACTTTAATTGTTTGTTTGGAAAGCGTAAAAAGTGATCCCTACTCAAATGATCATATTGGTTGGAATTATTTTTTATTATTTTTTCCTGACTTCAATGTTAGCTTTCTCCTAAAATCATGTCTTTTTTTATGAAATCACTTTACAAGCCACATCAGCATATGAAATCACTTTACACTATTTTCACAACTACAAACAAACAATTGAAAGTGATGAAAGCTGACATTAGGACCCACTTTTTTACACTTTCCATCCTTTTACATGGTAAAAACATACAACCAAACAGCCCCTTAGTATTTCTTAATACCACCCTCTAATTTCTTATTTGCCAGTTTAACCTTCACCCAGGATTTTCTAAGTTTAACTGCAGATAGGACCTCTTTATTATTTTCACAAGTGCAAACAAACATACCCCTGTAGGTCTATCGTTGCAAACAGACCTCCTGATTAAATCTTTCTCCTCTTGTACTCTTAATGAAAGAGAAAATTATTTATTTTTTGACAAATAAACCTATTGAGGATTAACGAATCAAAAAATTCCACATCCATTCACAATTGGGCGATAGTACATAGGCTAAGGGTCGCCCGAATTCCCTTTCATGCGGAACGACAGAGGCTCTGCAATAATAGTGTTGGATGTATTGTTCATGAAAAGTCAATTTTGTCTTTGTGAATAGTCCCACATTGGAAATTGAATTGGATTGTAAGTGATTTATAATGGAACACCTCTTATTGGGTTTTGAATAGTGTTTTGGGTTTTGTGGGCTTTGCATAACACACGCGTGCGCGCTGCACACGTATTTTGGATCGCAAATCTTTAATTTTACCGTTTTGTAATTCTTTTTGACTCGTTCGTAACGGATGCAGAGATGACGCGGGGAGTTACGCGGATCCTGTGTAACGTGTACGGATTTGAAGCAACGACTCTTTGGCCTCCGGCTCCTATACATACATGGGTTCTCCCCTTCGGAAGATACACAACAACAACAAGTCTTTCTCTCTTCTCCTCCATTTCTCTCTTAAAATTTTGACTACTATTATTTTCCTTTCGGGCAACCATCTTCATCTGAGCAGGAGTTCTGCTAATATCGTCCGAGTACGGAGGTCGGCCGAAAAGGAGGTTTTTACCTCTAGGAGAGAGAGGATCGACTGCGTCAGGGCGATAGGCGGGTCCTTAATCTTCTAGAGCAGTGAAATCACGACTACTCCCGTTCATGCCTGAATTTCTAACTTTTTATTTCGGATTTTATACTAATATTCTCTTATTTGACAAGAAATAAAAGTGTAGGATGTCTATCCATAATTAACCCTATTGATACTACATTAGTTTGCTTTTCTTCTAATTCGTTTTAAAACATTAGTTAAAACAAGTTTTGATGTCTTGGCATCTCTCAAGAGATATTATGTACGTTTATAATGCTTTTCTTCTTTATAACTTCCAAATTACCTAACCTTTCGTTGCTAGAGACCACTGATTTATGAACAAGCTCTCTGGTGTATTAATTAATTACAACGAAAGTGAAAGAGAGCAGATTAGCAGTGCAACAAAAACCACCACAAAAAACTATCTACTTTCTGCAATGATGAGTATATAGATAATGAAGTGGTCAAGTTCTCAAGCTCATAACTTATCTTTCAATTAATACTAATAAATAAATTCTTTATGCACGTCTTACCCGTAAAGCTGCCAGCTTTAATGATATCGTCAGTTAAGAGTTTTAAACGCATATAATTAAAGTCAGCAACTGTTGGTTTGGGATTATCTTTTGTTGAGTAGCAGCATTATTATAAAAGAAAATTTCTTTAAGGATCCAAGGATCCAAAATATAGGACCAATAGGGGGACAAGTGAGGTGTCCCCCTCCTATTGGATAATGAGTTGGTCATCATTAATGATGGCCAACTCATTATCCAATAAGAAGGGGACACCTCACTTGTCCCCCTTATTGATTCTATATTTTGGGTCCAATAGAAGATAACCCTTAACTTTCGAATGGAAAACGTTAGCATCAAAGAACAGATCAAGTGGCAGCACTTTTATCTTCAAAGTCGAGCCTTTTTTTTTTTTTTACTTTCCAGGTATAATCCCCCATATTTATACATAATGGGATGCTACTTGATTTGATATTTGGCGGGGCCTGGCCAGCGTTTTCCTCATGCAAATTTGCTTCGCCTCTTCTTTTATATGAAAATGGAACGAATACTTTCATTTATTTGTTGCTCCGGCAACAACATGGTATAGAAAAGTGGTTAAGACATAAGCGCTTTCAGGCTCATCGCCAGTAAGTTTTGCAACAATTCAAATTATATATATATACTATATAATATTACTATATATATTATATATATATATATAATATTATAATATTATATATAGTATATATGCTGAAATATGATATGCCTTCGGGTACAAGTACAAAAAAGTAATGCTTGTAGTGAGGTGTCAATCCCCCTCCCTTCATCTCAAATGTGGGAACAAAGATCACATGGTATCCTCCACTCATGTCAAATGTCGGGAAGAGAAACACAGTGATCTCGCCTCCGCATCATTCAAATGTGGGAACAAATCAATGATTGTAGGAGTGGAATGGGATGATGTGACACCATCACCAGTTATCGATACCTAGAGATCCGGGCTTATATGAAGAGATTTGAATCAATTGTGGATTAAAACACTTTGTGGATGGTCACTTAATTGACAACGAAATAATTTATATATATATAATATATATATATATATATTATATATATTAGTATATATATATATATATATGATATACTATATATAATATATACTATAGTATATATAGTATGACGAGAGAGAGAGAGAGAGAATATGAGAGGTGAGGCTGGAGCTCCATCTGCGCCGCTGAGCTGCAAGTGTATACATGTGCACCACAGCACGCGATGTGATTAGTAAGGAGGGCTCACATGTCATACACTTGCAGCTCAGCGGGGAAGTAGCTGCCAGTGCTCACCTCCATATTCTCTATATATATATATATTTAATATATATATAATATACTATATATATATATATATATATATATATGATATTATACGTTGATCTTATGTCAACTAAGTGGATGTCCACCAAGACTTTTTAGCTCACTCAATTTAGTGATATATAAAAAACTTCTTATAATCTTTCATCGGACTCCCTAAGCAACATAATGACTAAAAAGTTAGGTGGATAACATTTTCTGCTTCAACACTTAGAGTTGACAGCAAGTTTTGGCTATATAGTATATATATATAGTATATATATATATATATAATATTATAGGTATATTTATATATATAACATGGGACCTTATCTATAGAGGGAAATTTCGCCTCCTTGCGTCTATGTGCCACAATCCCACGTCCCTTTCATAAATAGGCACAAATCTCCCGCAACTCACACATTCTCTCCTACTTTTATGAGAATGGTGTGGATTGTACAATAGCGTCAAGGAGAAGAATCCCTCCCCTTTATGAAAGGATACCCAATCATATATATATATATAATTATATAATATTTATAATATATATATTATAATATATATATATATAGTATATATATCATATATATATATATAATATATATTATATATATATATATATATATATAATATAATATAAATATATAGCAATGCTTGGTACAAAGCAGCAAGTTTTATGCTTGGTTAGTGAAGGTGCATATTCTCACTCACTCGTTGAAATCGGAGCCCACATTACATTGTGTTTGAGTGTTGAGGAATTAAGAATGATGGCATGGAATATGACACGATTCGCTCAAGCACAAAATTTTGCTGGTACCAACCCTACTCGATTTCTCTCTCTCTCGTCTCTATCGCGCTCGTCTCG